ATGCCTAGCTAATTTTTTGATTTATTGTAGAGACAAGGTATCAGCAACTTGCCCAGGCTGGTCTCGAACCCCGGGGCTCAGGCAATCCACTTGTCTCTGCCTCCCAAAGTGCTGGAGTTACAGGGACAAGCCACTACACTCAACCTTATTTTATTTTTGTAGAGACAAGGTCTTGCCATGTTTTTCAGGATGGGTTCAAACTCCTGAAATTAAGCAATCCTCCTGCTTCGCCCCCCCCCCCCCCAAAGTGCTGGGAATACAGGTATGAGCCACCACACCTGGCTAGCAGAGGAAATTTAAAAATAAAGTATTTTTTTCTATACTCAAAGAGTTCGGCAACTTTTTCTGTAGAGGGTCAGATAGTAAATATTTCAGGCTTTGTGGGCTACATGGTCTCTGCCACAACTCCTCAACACTGCTGCTGTAGCAGGAAAGTAGCATTAGGCAAAATATAAACAAATGGGTGTGGCTGTGTTCTAAAAAAACTTTATTTGTAAAAACATGCAGCAGGCCAGATCTGGCCTGTGCACCTTAGTTGGCTAACACTTTTTTCTGGATACAGGATAACATGGGCATGTTGAATATGCATACATGCCAGTATATGTAAATGGGAGTGTATATATGTACATTAGCATACCAAGTCTCTGTTTGCCTACCCCTGTGGTCATGGTAGTTTCACAGACATGTATCAGTGTAGTCATATGGGTCCTGTTTAGAAGGGCCTGGCGCTTGCAGTTTAATGCTCTGTGGTCAATGTCTTGAAATTCTTTATCATTTTATCATAGAATTTGTGTTTTGTAAGCACAGTCTGATAGAACAATGGAGCCTGTTCTGCAGTATGTGGTCTTGTCTTTCCTGTCTTTTTGTAGTGCTGGGGTAGTTCTTAGAAGTGTGTCTTCCTCCAGCTTCCTCTTTCCTGTTCATGCCTTGCTACTGTTGCTTCCCTTTACCCAGGCTGGGACCAGGTCATATCAGTGTGTGTGTGTTGGGGGTAGTGGTGGTGGTGGTGGGTGGTGTGTGTTCTGCTGTTGTCCTTTGTCCCCATCAGGATCTTGTACATGAGTATGGAGGGTTGGGTTAAGCATGCTCATCCCTGGCATCTCAGGACAGGACTGAGGTGACTCTCCCTGCACCAAGCTAGCAGTACCACAGCACACTCAGGAGATTCATTGTAGAAGCTTTTACCCACCCTGATCTGAGTACCAAGTGTGTTCCAGTGTGGAAGTTGCAATTTCTTGGGGGTCACCTGTCTGACCTCCTTGGGATGGGAGAATGACCGCCACACTCCATGCTGGGGCATCATGGTGTATAGGTCCTGTGGCTATAGGAAGGGAGAAACCAGAAGTTGATGGGCCACATGTGCATGCCCAATACAGGTCAAGGAGCACCTGTGTTGTCTGCACTGCCCCATGAGTACTCTGTGCTGAAGAAATCTGACATCAAATTATAAATAAAAAAAAACCACCATGAGTGGTCAGAGAAAGAGACAGAAAAAGATTGAAGAAGAAAGGAAAAAGTTTTATATTTTAGTTTTTTAATATCCTTTCTTTCCTGCTCTCTGAACAAAGGTCCTGTATTTTCACTTGGTACTGGACCTTAGTCTACACTACAAAGAATCATCTTCTGAGATTCATCTACCAAAATGGAAGTTGACAAAGAGAATTCCACGTATGCATCACTCATTTCAGGTCAGCTAACCCTTGTAATACCGGGGTTCCTGCAGCATTCCTAAATCTTAAATACAAGACTTGGAAATTAATTACGTGTTTGGAGTTTCAGAATCTAAGGAGCTCCTTTTGGAATATGATGATCAGGAATGCTGTAGGGTAGTCATTTCCCTCAAAGAGTTTACTACAGGATTAATTCATATTTCTTTAGAATGATGGCAAGCCATTTTATAAATATAAAGCACAATCAAAACATTATTATGAAATTAAATAGACAACATACAAAGAAAGATACAATTTTACTAAGATTTCTTTTTTTTCCTATTAAAGAGGGCAATATCAAACATTGCAACATTTAAAAAATTGTTTTCCTGATTTGAATAAACAAACTGTGGAAGACAAACATTTTTTGAGATAAAGACATTTGAACACAGGCTGGGTCTTATGTGAGATTAAAGAATTATTGTTACTACTGTTAGGAATGATAATAACAGTGATTGTGTAAAAGATCGTAGATGCACATGAGTATTTATGGGCAAAATAATATAATGTTTGAGATGCATTTTAAAAACTTCAGCAAAAGGAGAAGAGACAGAGAAGAAGAGGAAGGTGAAGAGAAGACGAAAAAGATGACAAAAAAAGATAACGAAGGCAGCAATGAAGACAGGAGTTGAGAGAAAAAAATGTGAGAGAGATGAAATAGGGTTAGCAAAATGATAAACGTAGGTGATGGCAATGTGGGGATTCATCATATATAATTTAACCCCCATATATATTTTTAAATTCCCATGCCGAAGTGTATGTATATGTATGCGTGTGTATATGTGTATGTGTATGTGCGTGTGTGCCTACTGCCTACAAAAATTTCTAATAAAAATCAAGGCACAGATTTTTCATTCTCCTCCTCTATACCAAATGCCTTTTTTTTTTGGTGCAAGAAGCATCCTCTGGGGCTGACAGGAATTCTGTAAGCTGAAGAGATACAAAGGAGTCGATGGGAAGGATAATCTGCCCATCGGTTTCTGACACAATATAAAGAAGAAAAGAAGAAAGTGGGTGGAAGAGACTGCCATTGTTACTCTCCTAACCTTTCCTTCTAATTATGCCAGAGTCAAGGCTCAGGTCACAAGGAAAATTATTTAGGTGGTCAACCATTTGCCCTATTTTGTATACATCAAAAAAGCTCTTGTTCTCACCACATTCCAATCTCACAGTTTCCCACCTACTTTAAAAATGTATCAAATGGTCAGATTAACCAAAATATGAATAAAATGACTATATTATGAAGAACACCTTGTTTGCTAACCTAGAGAAAATCCTCTTGTGATGCTAAATTGCAAGATATATAACACTTTAAATTTTTAATATACTTTATATTATTGTAGGTATTGCAGATAAATGCCCAGCTTTTAAAAGTTAAATGTAAATTTCTCTCTTGAGTGCAGATGGTGGCCAAGCAAAGTAGCTCTTTGGTCTTACAGACAGAAGGTCAGGTCATGGCTGAAAGACCAAAGAACAATTGCTGCTTTGCTACTCCAAATCATCCATGGAATGAGACACCACTACTTTCTTTTTTGAAACTGTCTGTTCAATACATAATAGTTACAAAGAGTACCTATAAGATTTCCTCACATTCTGTCCAAGAAAAAATGGTAACAAGCACATCACATCGCAAACATCTTGTAACAGTTCAGAGGTTTTATTCCTAACGTTATAATCCTCTAAAAAGGCACATCTCTATCTAAAAACTTATCACTAAAAATTACTATGACAACCGTTTATATTTAACTATTATTATCAGGAAATGTTTACAAATGAAAACTGCTCCTTTAAAAATGCTGCAACTTTAGACTCCATACAGTTATATTAAAATGAAATTTAATATTGCAAAGACTTCTACTATTGCAAAATACTTCTAAACAAGTTATTCATTTACCAGTGATATTATACGATTATTGTTCCTATTTTTTTTCCTCTAGAATGTTATCATAGAACTTTAACTCAGAGACTCCTGATTATATTTTTCTAGTTAGTCCAAAATATTATGGTGGCAGAATGCCATAGAATAATACAAAAAGCATTTAATAATGCTAGTGAGTATGCCAATATGATACCTTTTAAAGAAAAATAATAATGCATCAGGAAAGAACATTTATCTGTGATTTACTTAGTTGTTCTAGGCCTTCAGCCCCTGACAGAAAGGATTTCCCATTCCACTATCAGGCACGCCCCCAACTGGATGAAATAAAATAGTTTCATTATTTGCACATGTTAATAATGAAAAATCTTCTGAAAATTAAAAACCTGTTATAACACTTTGAATATAGTGGTACAAAAGCAGAATTTTACTTTAGTTGTCAGGATTTTAATTTAGTACTAGGGATTTTAGTTAAGACTTGAAAAACTTTTTGTACTAAATTTCATTATCACTTTCATTTTCAATCCTTTTCCCAATTGTCATAAAGAGTTGACTGGATTGAGAAGGAAAATATGTTGAAAGTATGATTAAAAGCGTTGAACTAGAATTTGAAAAACATTTACTTACAGCTACCTACTTGTAAATTCTGAAACAATTTCTTTAAAATATTGACACTAAGGACTCAATCTTATTATTTTAATTAACTAGATTAACCAACATGCTTTTGTTGAATATAAAGTCTAAAAACTTTCCAGGTCCTGTACTAATAGGACATAAAAATAGAAAATCAAAAGTCAATCTATTAGAACTGCCTCTTTAAAAACCGTATCCATGTTGTCAATTAAAATTGGAGTATCTACTTGATCTCAACAAAGATATAACATAAAACATCTGTTCAAACTGAAATTGAAGTAAGCAGCTCTTCCCCCCACCATTTCTAATGTCACTGTATTTAGGCTTCATGAGCAAACGTATTCATGGTTATCTTAGTTAAAACTGGTTTCACTCTGCCAACAATCAATTTGATTGACATATTTACATATCAACTCATCTCATCTTACGAATTTTAAACTTTTTCATTTAAAATTGGATTCAAGTTGGCATGTTTCAAGAACTTTATGTATGTATATTTTAGGTTCAAACTGTGCATTAGAACATTTTTTTACTTTTGTAAGTAATAGATACACATATCCAAATGTATATTTATGACCTGTCAGATTGGAATTTTATATGCATGCTGCTGTATTCTCACCATTTCATGTAAAAGGTGATAATTTTAGGCACTATAAAAGAAATTCTTTTAACAGTATAAACTGGATCATTCCATTAGTTAGAGACAATAAAAATAAATAGCTTAGGAATAAAACCACATCAACTTCAGAAAGAATTATAGTTATGCCTGTGTCATCTCTTACCTGATCTTTAATTTCAAGATCCCTGTTAGTTTTTGTTCTGTACTCCCTGTGCTCCTTTTCTGCCTCATCCTTCTCCATTTTGGTTTTATTCAGCTGGTAGCGTAGTTCTCCACACACCTGTTAGATTGCAAAAATTAGATCAATACCTGCTAGAATCTACAAGGCAATGCCTGCAATTAGATCTTTTGGTGCCCCCTAGAGGTCTTATAGATAAAACACAATAAAACTTTTCCAAGAATGGCATTTTCTCTTCGAATATTCAACATGACTTGTTAATAAGATTTGGAAGCAAAAATAGGGATTACTGAGTCTGTTTCAAATTATAGATTAAAAAATTAATAGCTAAAGAATTTCAGTAATGTGCCTAAGATTCGTTTATAGAAAATAACAGTTTCAGATGCATATATCAACCAAAATGCATCTAAATTTTAAACAGAAAAAATTAGTAATTAAAATAGTAAATAGTAAACTGTTATTATTCACTCATATTGTTATGGTTAAATATTCATTCTATCTCATAAAATTTTCTTTTTAATACTTCATAAATTACACTTTAAAAGAAATTTTATAAGGGAATTTTTCTCTCTTGTAGTATATTATTGATATTTAGGTATATAGTACTCAGGACCTATAGTAAGCTTTGTAGATAACATCAATCTTATCGTGCACAATACTATGTATTCAAGCTAAGGAACATTATCTGGCAAAAGTCATAGATTAGAACTAAGCATACTATGCACTTATAACTGTAACATTCAATACAAAAAGAAAATACGTATTTAAGTGGAATCGTTTTAATATATCATTAAAAATGAACAAAAAGTATCTTAAAAGTATTGTGTATCAGCCTTTATAGTTGATACTAAGAACTTTATTGTTGTTGTTGTTTTTCCAACCTTGGGCTACTTACAGACATAGAAATGTATTTGGAAAATGTAATTAGCAAAGACATCTAAACAAGAAAATTATAAACCTTTTGAGATAACTGAGAACCTGTAGAAAGATCAGTTAATACACAAGTCTGCTAAGTCTGTTTCTAATTTACAAATTCAGGTTTATAAAAATCATGTATTATCTCATGACTATCCTTACTTAAAACTTTTAAATTTTGGTATTACTCCAAAAATAATTATTTTGGAAATCTTAAAAATTAGTTTCATCATTAATATGGTTTGAGAATATACTAAAGTATATTTAAAGTATGCATTTAAGCTGGGCGAGGTAGTGCCTGCCTGTAGTCCTAGCTACTGGGGAGGCTAAAGCAGAAGGACTACTTGAGCCCAGGAGTTTAGGACTGTAAGTACACCATGATCAGGCTTGTGAATAGCCATTGCACTCCAGCCTATGCAACATAGCAAAACCTCAGCTCTAAACAAGTAAAATAGAACCTAAAAAAAAAATTAGTAAAATAAACTGGGTTTAAAAGTTATAGTGACAAGACAGAAGAAAAAGTCAGTAAGCTTCTTTTCATGGCCTTCAGAAAGCTAGTACAAGAATTAAGTTACTAAAAATTCTATTTGAAATTCAAATGCCTACATGTGGGAGAGTGGATTCTTCTCATTTTGAAAAATTATGAATTTATCAATGGTATTAATTTTGGAGCTAAATAAAATTTAACAATTAGGAGTGCCAGGAAAAGATTTAGAGGGGCCCCATTTTATTTCCTCTCAATTCTTCAATATTCCAGTCTATTTGATTTTTGTCTACGAATAAAATGGAGAAAAAATCAAATTGATAATGCCAGAAAATAATAATTAAACATGATGTTTAAAACCCAACACAAGCCGGGCTCGGTGGCTCAGCCTGTAATCCCACGCCTTTGGGAGGCTGAGGTGAGTGGATTGCCTGAGCCTGCGGGTTCGAGACCTGCCTGGGCAGCGAGACCTCATCTCTACAATAAATAAAAAAATCAGCCGGGCGTGGTAGCGCATGCCTGTAATTCCAGCTACTTGGAAGGCTGAGAAGGAA